CTCCGCCTCCGCCTGCACGGCTTCCACATCAAAGTCCATCTCCCCCTCGGGCTCGACCGCGCTCACAGGCTCCGCCGAGTTGGGCCCGTTCCCGCTCGCAGTGCGGCGTACACCGCTTCCACCCTGCGGCCCCGACCGCGGAGGGTTAGCGCAGCGGTCCTTCCCGTGTGCGATACGCAGGTTCGCGTACTCGGGGCGGTTCTTGATCGCGTCGATCGCCTTGATCGCGTTCGAGATGTTGGTGAAGTTCACGAACGCGCAGTTCCTGTGAAACCCCGTCAGCACACCGAATCGCCTGAGAGAAGGAAGAACGACGTACTTCTCCTTCAAAAAGTTGACGAGCTCAATGTCGCCAAACTCGCCAAAGTCGGCCTTGAGGCGCTCCTCGCTGAAGACTTCAAAGTCCTCGACGTTGCCAATGTACACGTTGCGCGTCGCACCGGCGTGGACCGCGAGCGCCAGAGTCGGCGCGAGGGGGCCCGAGTTCTTGCCCCAGCCGACCTTGAGGCGGCGGTTGTTGAGGGTAAGGCCCTGGTAAGACGACACCTGGAAGAAGGTGAAGGCCGCCGCGGGGTCGATGAATGTGATGAACTGGAGAGGCGTTAGCATGGGCAGAAGCGAGCGGGGAGGCGCATGAGAGGAGGGGAAGGAGTAGAAGGGTATGTCTTTGTCCATAACGCAGTGCGAAGAAGGGAGGACGGAAAGACGATGAAAGGGACGCGGTGACTGATACGACGACGACGAGGACGAAAGGAAAAGATGCAAGGCCGACGACGCCATCGGTCGCTCCGGGTCACTGAGGGCAAACGCGGCGCCACCTCGACGCCGCCCAAACAGACCCTCCACACGCCCAAGAAACCACCACCAAGCCAAACGCCCCCAAAAAGAAAGAAAGAACGAAAGCAAGAAAACTCACAGCAATATGCTTATCCGCCATATACCTCACGCTCTGTAACACACCCCCGCGGATCGCGTTGCAGAGGTCCTCCGTGGTCGTCTCGGGGTGGATGTTGCCGAGGTAGACGGTGCGGTTGCCCGTGGCGAGGCCGAGGCCGGGGACGCCTGCTGGGTGGGGCGTTAGTGTCTGTGTTGAGGGCGAGGAGAGGGAGAGGAGGAAGGAGGAAGGGAAAGAAGAGGAGATAGGGAAAAGAGGAAAGAAGAGGAGAACAAGGAGAGGAAGGCGATGGGTGCCAGGGTATGTAGTATGGACGGAGACAAGGAAAGATAGTGGTACGATGACAGAGGGAATGGACGCAGTAAAAACAAACAAATGAGGGATGAAGATGGATAGATACAAGTGCAGGGGTGAGGTATCGAAGAATAATGGCGAATGAAGATAGAAGTGACGGCAGGAAGGCAAGACGGCGCGGGCCTTATTGGAAGGAGGTGTGAGAGGAAGAAGGTGACGACAAGTGACGACGACGGTGAGGGAACAACGAGCCATCTCCTTCGACGCATGCAGGGGCGACGTGTCAAGCCAACAAAGAAAAAAGACAAAACGAAAGAAGCACCGAACACAAATGAAGTGAAGTGACACGAATAATGGAAGGGAAGAAGAAGGCAACATGCGAACAAGGGAAGCGGAGGAAGGGAAGGGAAGACCAAGCGCGAGAAGAGAGAACAAAGGAAGCGATGGAAGAGGAAGACGGGATGCAGGGATAGAGAAGACGAATGCAGGGACTAGCAAGACGTATGCAGGAACAAGGAAGACACGGAAAAGACGCCGAGACGCCGGGAGCCGCCGTCGCCGCCGCCGCCACGGCGGCGAGACCGTCAAACAAAAAAAGGCGGGGACGACGAAATGAAAGGACGCTCAACGCCAACGCCAACGCCAACACCCACCAAAAAAGCATCAAAAAAAGAAAGAAAGAAAGAAAGATGAAAAATGCAAGGAAAAAAGCAGTCGAAAAACGAAAGAAAGCACAAAAAGCACCAAAAAAAAAGAGAAAAAAGGCAAGAGAAAAGCACTGAAAAGAAGAAAAAAACGAAAAAAGTAGAAAGAAAAAAAAAACACAAAAACGAAAGAAGGAAGAAAAACGAGACTCACCCATGCCGAGCATGCCCATCCCGCCGGGGCTCATCGGGCTCATCATCTGCGCGCCCATGCCCATCCCGCCTGTAAAAAAAAAAGAAGAAAAGGGGGTGGTTAGTTTGGGTCCATTCAAGGAGAAAAAGGAGGGGGGAAGAGGGAGGAAGCGGGAGGGGAGGAGGGACGGGGAAGAGGGTAGCACGGGAAGGGGAGTTTAGAAGTGACGATGTGCGGGCGAAGTGGACTACGCATAGAGCTCAAAAACAAGAAAAACCACCCACCAAACATCCCCATCCCCATCATCGCACTGAGCGCATCCGGGCTAAACGGCGCAGGCGTGTACATCCCATTGTTCCCGTTCCCATTCTGCGCCCCCTGCCCCCCATTCTGCTGCCCCCCCTGCCCCCCATTATTCCCGTTCTGCGCGTTCTGCGCCTGCTGCGCCGCGAGCGCCGCGCCCGTCAGTATGGGGTTGACGGACCCCGAGCCGGAAGTCGGGTGCGCGCTGTGCGGGCCGCTCGACACGCCCCCGCCCCCCGGACCGCCTTGTGTGAACGGATTCGCGCCAGCATTAACGCTCCCCGGGTGCGCGCTCGCGGGGCCCCCGCCGTACCCGCCCTGCCCCTGCCCCTGCGCCCCCGCCATCCCCCCGCTGAGGCTCGGCGACCCGAACTGCGAGAACCCGCCGGTGTTGGGCGAGTTGAAGGCGGCGAAGGAGGCGGAGTGCGCGGTGAGTGGGGAGGCGAAGGCTTGTGCGGATTGGAGGAGGGACTGCGCGGCGGCGGCTTGGGCTTGGTGTGCCGCGGCCTGCTGCGATTTGGGGACGTAGGCGCAGCGGTCTTTGCCGTAATTAACGCGCTTGCCCGCCCAGGCGGGGTCGGTGGGGAGGGTGTTGACGACCTAGAGGGTGGCGCATGCATGTCAGTAGAGCAAGAGAGAGAGAGAGAAATGGGACCAACCTTGGTCGCCACGCTGATACTCAAAAAGTGGACAAACCCAATGTTCTTGTCCCGCACAATCTTAACCTGGTCAATGAGCCCAAACTTGCTCAGCTCGTCCCGCAGCGCCTCCTCCGTCATCCCCTCCTCCAGCCCGCCCAGATACACATTCCGGCTCGCGCCGCTCTGCGCGATCGCCTGGAGCACCTGCGCCGGGACGGGGCTCGGCTTCCCCCACCCGACTTTGAGCTCCTGCGCGTGGAGCGTGAGCTTCCGCAGCGCTGCGTCGGCGAAGAACGCGCTCGCGGTGCCGGCGTCGAGGAACGAGAGGAAGACGCAGGACTTCTCGGGCAGCACGCGGATGCTCTCGAGGGGCCCAAAATGCACGAGGTTGAGGAGCTCGTCGACGGACGCGGAGGGGGGGAGGTTGCCGATGTAGACGGTGCGCCCCGCGGCGGGGCCGCCGGCGCCGCCCGGGGAGAGCATGCCCGTGAGCGCGGAGGGGCTGTACACCGCCTGCGCGGCGGGGATGTTGAGCGTCGGCAGGCGCTGGGGCGTGAATTGCCCGCCCTGCTGCTACAAAGGAACGCCTCGTGTTAGCGCCCACTTTTTTTCACGATAAGGAAGAAAGGCACCTGGAAGTTCTGCTGCGGGTACGGGAAGGAGCCCATGGCGAGCATGTTGTAGGGGTTGAACTGGCTGTACGGGGAGCCGGCGACGGGGCTCTGCTGCTGCTGCTGCTGCTGTTGCTGCTGCTGCTGGAAGCTGGCCATGGTATTGGGGCTGAGCTGGGCGCCGTTGGTCTGGGTGTTTATGGAGAGCTGGGGGGTGGAGTAGAGGGGGCTCTGCTGCTGGAAGGACTGGCCGGCTTGGGCGCCGTAGCCGTAGTTGGCGTACACGTCTCTGGGGGAGCCTCCGGGGGCTGCTCCGGCGGTGGGCGGGGCACCGGACGTCGGGGACCACCGCGCCTTTTTCGAGTCTGGGCCTCCAGCTGCGTCCATGGAGCGCTTTGAAAAAGAAAGGAAAAGGGAAAGAGAAAGAAAGGGAAAAAGAAAGGATTAGAAATTGCCTAGCAACGAAAAGGAGAGGCGACGAACCTTCATCATATCGATATCAAACGAATACGGGGGGTACGGCTGCGTAAACGCTGCCTGCGATTCGTCCATCGGGGATGAAATGGTAGTGGTACGAAGGGGAGAAGGAACGGGGAGGACGAGGGAAGAAAACGTTAGAAAACGTCGAAAGTAGCGAGTGTGTTTTTTGCGGGGGGCGCACAGAAACGAGTGTGGGGTGCAAAAAAAGACACGCACAAAAGGGAGAAGGGAAAGAACAACAACGAAACGAGAAATCCCTACAGACACGTCAAGGAAGATACCCTTGCAAAATACATAAGCATCACTGCACATTGATTGCGCACGGACCAAGGCTATTGTATGAAATTCTATTCTAACAGGAGTTCCATTCCATCTCAGTCAACTTTGAGCGCATCAACATCACCACCAACGGAATTCGCCCCCTCACACTTGATGTCCGGGCACACCGGCGCGGACCCAACGGCAATTCATATTCAGGCCCCACCTCCGCGTCGCGTGGCCTCATCATGGCGTGCTTTTATTGGAGGCTTGTGCCGGCACCGTTCACGAGTCCGATCGAAAGACGACCGACTCGGGCGCCGCGAAACCCCAAGTTCCCCAAAAAAAGTAGACATAGAGAGATAATTCGGACGCTGGGAGTCGAACCCAGGACCCGCATCAATTTCCTTCCGCTGCTAATCTTATGCGGGTGTGCGCCATGCACTACATCCAATTATTACAACTGAACTGAGGTGGGTTTATGTATGTATGAGAGGAAGGGAGGAGTTTTGATTCACTTACAGTATTACTCAAAGCAACGAGCGTGAGCACACTACTACTGTATCCCGTTCAATTTTGGTTCAACCAGCAGGTCATTGTCGTCATTGAAAGTTGGAGAGTTTGGAAAATATGGGGACGTTCTGCACCAAAAAAAAAAAAAAGAGTTTGAAACACGACATATTCGAACGCTGGGAGTCGAACCCAGGACTCCCGCATGGATTTCAAAATGACCTAGTTGCCCAATCCTTGCAGGTGTGCACCGTGCACCACATCCGATTTCCTTACTTCCGAGCTCTAGCAGGAGGAGGGAGTCTAGGTTTGTTCGTAGGTGGGCACAAACGTTGGCGTGTGTACTTCCTTCCTCAGGTGTTAAATTGTCCATGTTATCCACATGCATGATTTTTTCGAACCGATGTCTCAACTTCCTGGCTCAGGAAGAAAGACAATCAGTTTGGAAGAGAGCTACACGTATCAGGCTATGATGCAGAAAAAAGGGGCAAAACAAACTCAAGAATTTACTACCGCATTTCGGACTCTGGGAGTCGAACCCAGGAACCCCGCAACAACACGTGCACATAAGCTTAGAGCCAATGTGCACCGTGCGCCACGTCCGAATTCTTACCATTGAACTAAGGTGGGTTTTATGTATGAGAGGAGAAGGAGGAAGGGAAGTTTAATCCGGTCACAGTATGAAAGGCACCTCATTCGCTGACCCGTGTTGGTTTTGGTTCAACTATTAGGTCCGTACTCTTGGAAAAAAAAAAGCATAGTTGGAAATGGAACAGACTTGTGCCGCCCAAAGAAGAAGACAAAAAAAATACAAATCTTGTACCCTTTCTATTCGAACGCTGGGAGTCGAACCCAGGACCCATGCATCAATTTCGCCCTACTGTATGTTGAGCGGTGTGCTCGTACAACAAGTCCGATTTCTTAACAATGCTTGGAGGTGGGTTATATGTAGGAGAAGGAGCCTGGAGATTTAGTTCAGTTACGGTATGAAAGGCACCCAGTCGCCCACGTGCGTGAGCGCTGAGACCCGGGTTGGTTTGCTTCCACCGCCGGGTCATAATCTTACTCTTTTTCAAAAGATACATGGTTGGAAATTTAGAACAGACCTGTGCCGCCCAAAGAAGAGGAAAAAAATTATACATCTAGCGACCTATCGATTCGAACGCTGGGAGTCGAACCCAGGACCCCCGCATCAATTTTGCCCTCTAGAATATTAAGCGGGTGTGCACCGTGCACCTGTAACGGAGGCACGACAACTTTAGTAGCATAGGCGTTCGGTCCGTTGACCGAACGCCTATTGATGGCGCGAACGCCTATCCATCAGTTTTGAGCGCATCACGCAGTGATCGATTTGCCGATGGCTGCCGAAACTCGCTAGATCACTGAACTCTGTATTCATTGTGCGCGGGAGGTTAAGTTTGGGTTAAGTTTGAGGTAGGTATGGTTAAGTTTGGTGTTCTGGTTAGGTCCCCAGGTATATTGAAGAAGTTGTTGAAGAAAGGACTTGTGTTTTTGCTGGCATGCCGCCATTGATGGTGTGATGGCTGATCCAGAGGCGATAGGCATTCAAGCGGCAAGTAGGTGTTCGGTCAACGGGCCGAACGCCTATGCTACTAAAGTTGTATGTACTCAACGGGGATATTCATCCGCCAAGTCCTTGGGGGTACCAATCACCAAATTATGCTTACTTTATGCTTACTATACCTATGCCTTAGGGCCTGATCGGCAACCATTAATTCATGCGTGAATCTGGAAAAGTCACGATCAGTCACACCCGATCAAACTCTTCGCCCGCGCCCACTTCCGCCGCCCGAAGCACTGTTCTATGCGTTCTCATGGCCGCCGCGCACATAGTGAATCGAAATGACGTGCACAATCTCTCCCCGGAAATCCTTCAGCTGATCCAGCGCCGCCGACGCGCTCTATGCACCGCCGCGCTTGCAACCGTGTTTTGTGCCGACAGTCTCTTGCATCTAGAACACCCTATTCCTATACCTCGTCACACCTCCATCCTCACAGGTCAGGACTGGCTTGACGAAATCATCAATGGCCATCCAGAGCGGTGTCTCGACCAGCTGGGGATGTATCCGGCGGCTTGCCTGTTGCTATGCTGGGAATTCACCGCAAACGGAGCTCTTGCCAACAGCCGACACATCACCGCAGCGGAACAAATGGCCATATTCGTCTATTGGTTTGTGCACGCGAGCAGCCAGAGGGACTTGATGGAGCGTTTTCAGCGGTCGAACGACACCATCAGCAAATACACCAACCTCGTACTTGACATTGCTGTGGACAACTTCTATCAGAAATATGTGCAGAACCCCGCCGACTCCACTCCCCCCAAAATCGCCAACAATCCTGCATATTTTCCCTTCTTTCGTTACTGCCGAGGGGCTGTCGACGGTACACACATCAACGCCTTCGTGCTCGCTGCTGATACCGTCCGTTATCGAGATCGCCATGGAGATGTCACCCAGAACGTCCTGGCGGCGTGTGATTTCGACCTCCGCTTCACATACATGATGCCTGGGTATGAAGGAACACCTGCAGATGGACGACTTTTCGATACTGCGCGGCGCAATGGATTTGCCTTGCCCCCACATCGCTATTACCTCGGAGATGCTGGTTTCCCCAATTGCGACCTCATTCTAGCCCCCTTCATCGGTACACGCTATCACCTGAAGGAGTGGGACAGCAGCGGGTGCGAACCGGAGACACCAGAGGAGCTGTACAACCTTCGGCACTCGCAACTCCGAAATGTCATCGAGCGAATATTTGGCGTCACAAAGCGGCAGTTTCCCATTCTGATCTCCAGCCCCGAGTGTTCGTACGAGGTACAGTCAAAGATTGTGGCGGCGGCGGGAGCTCTGCACAACTTTCTTTGCATCCATGACCAGCTTAACTCGTTTGCCTTCGAAATCGACAATGAAGAGGAGTACGATCCCGACGCCCACCCGTTCCTCGCTGGCGCTGTCATTCCGGAGCACCGTGTACTTGCAATCACCGAGGAGGAGTCGCATAGGGCAAACGCGCGGCGGGAGCAGATGATGATGAGCATGTGGGCTCAGTACATTGCAGAACATGACGACTAGTACAAATGTAACGACGATACAGCTGGTTATGGAATGACAGACATGCGAAGAATTCGAGTGGGTCCCAGATGATCACAATGAGCAACGAAGATAGCAAAGAACTACACCCAATTAAAGGGCACCTCCATCTCCTTCTCGGTCAACACGCGCTTGAGCAAGGCGATGCGCTGGATGCGATGCGGGGCTTTGATAAAGATACGTGCGCGCATTTCGTTCGTGCTCAACACGTCCAAGAAAAGGGCGTAGTATTCGCCGTCGGGGTCGTCGGGGAGGAGGGTGGGGTCTGCGATCAAGGCATCCACGATTTCGTCCACATGCGAGGTGTCTGCCTTGGTGATGATGGGCGCAGACATGCCCTGGCCGATTGCTTTCAGCCCGCGTGCGATCTCGCTCCCGGTTTCAGCATTGCGCGATGCACGACGCCCGCCAGAGCTCGAGCCGGCCGAGGCCAAACGGTCACGGTCGCGTGCACCGGCCTTTGTCTTCGGCTGGTTGCTGTTCTCGTTCTCCTCTTCATTGCCAGGGGTGTCGGAGAGTCGACGACGTTTGGTGGGGCGAGGGAGGAGCTCATCATCGTAAGGCTTCGGGGACGGGGGTTGGTTGGGTGTAGAGTCCGAGTCTATGTCGATGGCGTCGTTCTCGAGAGTCTGGAGCGGGCCGCGCTTCTGTGGTGACAACAAGGAGGGAGCGGCGGCGGAGGCGGAGGCAGAGACAGAGGGGGATGTGAATGCGGATGCAGATGCGGATACGGAGGCAGAGGCAGAGGATGACTTGCTTTGCTTTGACTTGGACTTTGTGAGATGCAGGACATGCTCGCCGGTGGCCTTGTTGCCGCCAAAAAGGCCCACGAGGCGATTGTAGTAAGGGCACGATCTCTTGAAACACTTCGCGTACTTGTCGCCAAACTCCTACATCCCATTAGCATAGAGTTGGATGCGAGAGTTAGCTGCACGCACCTCCGTAAATTTTTTGACAAAATCTGTCTCAGCCGTAGCCTTCTTCTCCCTGTCGTCCCATCCAACTCCACTCTTTCCGCGCACGAATTCGTATTCCTCGAAGATGCCCTTTACCTGAAGGAAGATGAGTACGAAATCAATGAGCAGCGACATCATAATCACGTATCGCAAACGATTCCCGACATGGTCTTTGGAGCGAATGGGGCGCGTAGGGAACCGCTTCTTGAGAGCAGCAGAGATCTCCGTGAATGCTTTGGCCTTGAACCCATTGCCGCTGAGGTATGCGGTCGGGTCGTTGTGCAGATAATCTAGCGCGTAGTTGGTTTCCAGTTCCGTGAAAGAGTGGGAGGCATTGTTGGCGATTTCGGGGGCGACGTCGTCGTTGGCAGAGGGGACAGAGAAGGCAGGGTCATCGGGATGAGAGGCCATGGTGTGGAAGGAGCGAGGGAGTGGGTGGTGGCCGCCAGCAGTCGAGGGAAGCAAAGAGGAAGCAAAAAGAAGATGCGTGACAGAAGCGTTACAAGAATTCACAGATTCACGCGTGAATTAATGGTTGCCGATCAGGCCCTTATGCCGTGCCATCGCACTTTTCATCAACATCATGCACTGCCTTTGTTCCGTAGTATATATACCTGGCTGTCGTAGTTACATTCCTTCGGTCAATCCACCACTTACGCCAGTTCCCTCCCGTCCGAATCGTGTGCCAGATCTCGACGTTCGTCGCATCCGTCACATATTTTGAACTCCTCTATCCTCTGTTGTCGCTCTGTCTGGCTACCGACTGTCTGATCAACCGCCGCCGCTGCTCTGCTTCGACACCACCGACCGAAGAACTATGGCAACTGACTCGACCCGCCGCCATACACGTGCGGCAACTCTTGCGGGCATCTATCCAGCTCCGAAACTCCCTCGCAACACTCCCTCATCGTCCTCATCCCCTCCCTCTCCATCTCTCGGCAGGGGCACGGGATCCCCCAAAACCCGCCCGGTTACGCCCGAGCTACTTGATACTGCTGTGGCCTCTGCCGTGTCCCTCTCACGAGGTGTTTCCCCTGCTGCCCTCGAGGGGCAGGGTGGTGTTCCTGGCGATGCCAGTGAGAGCTCTCTCTCTGAGCTGCCGTCTCTGACTCGAGACGTCGACTTCGGCTCCGTCCCGTCCCCATCTCCCATGAGCACTGTCGTGCATGGGGAAACTATGTCCGTACGTAGTAATGACATT